TAATTTCTCCCTTTCTGTTGGGTTGATTCTTCACTCTTGTGATCCTTTGCTGTAGAGGAGCTTTTGGCTTATTGTAATTTTGTCTGCTTTTGCTTTTGTTGCCTGTATTTCTACAGTCTTGACCAAAACAACCCTGCCCTTTCTAGTATCTTGGCACTTGATGTGTCTTTCATGAATTCATAGTTTTGATCTTACATTATGTCTTTAATTTCCTTGATTTTTAAAACTAGTCATAAATATGAGTCTAGCTCTTGGGGCTTTTCCCCACCTAGCATTGGAAACACCAAGCTTTAAACCTGCTGGCCAAGCACTACAATCACAGTGACCTTCCCAGTCCTGCTAGGAGCACAAAGGTCCTTGTGCTCACAGATAGCACTAGGGAAACCAGGAATGTTAAACAAACACTCAGAGTTGTCTCTTCAAGGGAAAAGATGTGTCACCTTGTTTTCTATCCAGAAGGCTGGGGCTGGAGGTGGCTAATAGCCTACCTTGCACCACCTGTAGGGCCAGGCCATACTAAGCTTCCACAACCAAGGCTGGATGTACCTAATTGTCTAGGTGACCTTTACACTATCTGTATGGCTAGGGACTCCCCCAAGGTTTCACAACCAGGACTGGAGGTGGGTAATAGCCCAGATGACCTCTCTGCTACCTGTATGACTGAGACCACACCAGATCCTCCCCTGAGCCCTTAAGATACCACGGGTAGCCTATCTCTGGAACCCATCTTCATGGAAGAAGTGACAAGCACTTTGAGTGTCAATGTAATTAGGCTTCCTGTGCACACAGGCTTATGTTACACTAGGAAACATTTTTCCAAATTGTACTGTACTTTAATATGCCAAAAATAAACTGCCTGGTGTCACAGTCTGGAAGTTTGAATGACTACTGAGTATTGAATTGATTTCCTTCTTGCCTCCATGGATCATTACTCTGCCAGCCCTGGTGTTTGCCGAAACCTCACACAGTCCTGATGGTATTCTTCTAGATGCTGACATTCAATCTCCCCAGTATCACTTACTAAAAACACTGTCCCCTCTCCAAGTGTGCACTTAATACCTTTGTTAAAAATCATTTAAGAAATCAAAAGGCTGCATGTTAGTCCATGGGTTTATTCCTAGAATCAATACTTTGTTCCCTTGGCCTATGTGTCTTATGCTAATAACATGTTGCTTTGATTAGTATCAGTTTGTAGTAGTTTTTAAGTAGGCAGTATAATACCTCCAGTAGGTATTTTTTATTCAAAATGGCTTTGGTTGATAAAAGAGAGGTAGCCAGGGGTATGGAGAGACAGAGACACTACATTGAATCTATGATTAAATTTGCTTAGTGAGATAGTTTACCTTGTCAACTAGGTTGGACTAAGAAATACCTAGGAAGCTAATGAAGCACACCCTGAGTCTATGTGTGAACATTCCAGACACAATCAGATGGTGAAGGCTCAGACCTAAAAGATTTAACTCATTGATGGATTGAACATCTGAATGGAATCTGAGAGGTGACAGAACTATGAAGGTGGGGACCAGGTTGGAGGCTACACAGTGCCCTGGCTCTTTCTCTTACTGTTTATTCCTGCCCACCATATGGGTTGCTCTTCTGTTTGCCATCTGCCTAGGTGAAGAAGCCAATGTGCTGCTGCTCCCACCATTGTTAAATTCTGTACAGTGCTGTGGGCTATGCAGTCCTGGACTGAACCCTCTGAAGCAGTGAGCTAACTTAAGTGTTTCTTCCGGCTAAGTTCCTTTCCTCGGGTATTTGACCATAGCTATGTAAAAATAACTCAGACAGTATTGGCTTTTCCTAAACTAGGAGCATACATTCCTTTTCATCTTTTTGTCTTCGAAAATTTCATGAATATTTTATAATTCTTATTGACCTTTTCAAGTTAAATTTATTCCTAGGAATCAATGTGTACATAAATGAGAGGGCAACTATTGTATACACGTTTGCTTTATCGGTCTCTAGTGCAGATAATTTGCTATTGGCATATAAGAATACTACTGTTTATTTTGTATCCTGCAACTTTGTTGAATTCATTTGCTGGTTCTAATAGTTTTGGATGGATCTTGGGTGTGTGAAATGAAAACTTCTCTTCCAGTGTGGAAACTTTTCCTCTCGCCTGACTAGCACATCTAGCGTGTTGAGTAACAGTAATGAAAGTGTTTTTTGTCTTCTAAAGGGAAATAACTTAAGGGACGAGATGGGAAGAGTGCCTATTTTTGAACATGCCTAGGCCACAAGGAATAATGAAAAGAATATGTCAGACCAGGGAGAGATGGCAGTGTTGGGCAGGCGTCATTGTGGAGTATTTTTGTAAGGCCATGGTTCTTGTATAGACGTTATCAGCTGCAAGTGAGAACCCTTCTCTCAGTCCCCCCCCCTTTTTTTGGTGAGGGTTACTATAAGCTACTCATTTTGAATCTGACCACTTTCACAAGTTTTAAACAGATCACTGAAAAATGCAAACTGGTGGTTACAGTTGGCACAAATTTAAAAAAATGATGAAACAAATCAGTTTTTGTCACTCTAGTTTTTTTTTTTTTGTTTGTTTGTTTGTTTGTTTGAAGCGATATATTTTTATGTGCATTGATGTTCTGCAGGCATGTGTCTCTTGGGTTCTTGGAACTGGAGTTACAGACAGTTGTGAGCTGCCATGTGGGTACTGGGAATTGAACCCAGGTCCTGTGGAAGCACACCCAGTGCTCTTAACCATTGAGCCATCTCTCCAGCCCGTCACTCTAGGTTTTGATACACATTTTGAAGTGATTATCAGTGATCTCAAATCTGTTATTTACTGAGGTCTTTGCTAAAGTTTCTAGCCTCAGGTAAAATGTCCAGAATGTGCTAGGCTAGCACACAGTTCAAGACTATCTTGAGCCTCAGAGCTCTCAAAAAGAAAAAAAAAAAATTAAATCAGTTCCCTTTGCTCTCAAGAAACAAAAAAGCAGCTTTAGCATTTGTTCTTTTTAACTGATAAAGACAACAACTTTGTAGCTTTGTAGGGCACATTTTAAATATAAATAAAAACTTTAAAATTGTTTTTGGACATTATAAATTCTATTTTCCATGCCTTTCGTCTCACTTCCAATTCACAGCTGCAGCAGAGGCCCCCGGCTCCCTACGGTCTTGTCTGTCCTCTGACCCACAGTTCTGGCCACATTGCCAATCGCAGCTCCCACCAGCATCCCCACGCATATTCACTGCTCAAGCCATATGAACTAAAAGCCATGGCTATTGACTTTGTCACGTTTTCTCTACCTCAAGACTGGATGACTAGTTCTTCAAATTTCCCATAATTCCTTCACCTTCCCATAATTCTCAATCACATCTTTGAAACTTCCTCTATGACTGACTGACAATTTTCAACATATCTTCTTTTCCAAGATATGCAAGTAAAGGTCAGCATTGATTCTCTCCTATGTGGGTCCTGGGGATCGAACTCAGGTCATCAGGCTTGGTGGCAAGCACCTTTACCCACTGAGCCATCTTAACAGATCTAAAATGTCTTAATAAATGTTGACAGATTAACAAATAAAAGCAATAGTCTTTAATTTTAAAAAGTTCATTTTGGAAAAATGTAAAAGCAATACATTGAACAAAATTTCCATGTATCCCTGAATTTGTGCCCAAGAAAAATGGAGAGAAAATTGTATAAGTCATATGTAGTTAAATAAGAAAAAGAGTAGTTTTAGGGAATAAAAATTGAATTTTACTCCATACCTACTTTTTGTAAAAAGCCAAATATTTATTAGGTTAATGTGCATGGGTTACAGGTTGTATTACCAGAATATTCTATACATTTCTTTAAAAACAGAACATTTAAGTAATAAAGTTTATGAGAATTTAACATTTAACATTAAACCTGGAAAACTGTGTCCTTATAACCATCACTAGTATTGTTGCTGTGCTCGACTCCCTGAGAAAAAGCAACCTGAGAGAAGGGTCCATTGTGGCCATCTTCTAAGGACACAGTTCATCACCACACAGCAAGAGCACCAATCGAGAGGAAGAGGGAGAGGAACTGGTGCCAAGCTATCAAACCTGAAGCCCTGCCCACAGCGACTCACTTTCTCCATCAAGGTTCTAGCTCCTAAAGGATCCACAACTTCTAAATCAAGGCCACCAACTGTGGACTGAGTGTTCAAACATTTGAGGCTATGAGGAACAGTTCACGTTCAGACCACAACAATCAATCACATTATAAAGAGCATGAGTATAGGCTGTGCTTGCAAAGATGGCAAATCCTTCAAAAAACCCAAGAAGCACACATGGTCAAAAGCTTAGTTTATCTACTATTGTGGCGTCTGAGGATACCCAATCACACCAATAATGGTTCCACTATTTTAGAAGACAAAACTTTTAGAAAAAATTCAAAGTGTAATATTTTAGCTATTTCCCAGACCAAATTTATTCAAATACTCCTACAATACAAAAAAGTTATTTTTAAAAGTGTTAATGCTTCTTTATGAGTTAAATGTAGAGAAAATGTCAATTTATATTTCTTTAAAAAATTTATCGTGTATGTTTTGCCTACACATATGTACACCATGTTTGTACAGTGCCTGTGGAAGCCAGAGAGGGCAGTAGGTCCCCTGGAACTGAAGTTACAGACAGTTGTGAACCACCATGTGGGTGCTGGGAATTGAACCCAGGTCCTCTGGAAGAGCTACTGTTGGTCTTAACCTGAGTCCTCTCTCCAGTTCCTCCAACTACACTGCATGTAATGTGTTAGATATACTATTGGAAAATTAGATTTATTTAACTTATTGTGTCATAATCATTTTTCGTGCAGTACTGAGGGGTACAGGGGAACTTTTCCCATAATAGATGATACTATTTTAAATATGTTTCTGTACTGAGTTTCTTGCCCTTTTCTAATAATAAAAAGAAATATAACAAAACTAAGGGAAAGGTTAAGTTTAATAATGAACTTTCATGTTTGTATCTCATAGCATTATATAGTGATTGAATATGAAAACCATTGCCAAGAAGAACGATGGTACTTTTAAGCAGCATAAAATATTTTAATGAAAAAAAAAAGAAAATCACAAATATATATATAGATAGATATATTAAACTTTTAATGTAAATCAACACAGGATTGTAATGTAAAACACCATGATACAATAAACCCTGTATCATTTATTTCTGATGAAACATACAAACACTTTCTACTATGCATTTGTTCTCCTACCAACACTAGAGATCACTGTTACCAAATACATTATGCTGTTGGGGCAGGGAGGAGATACTTCATATTTCATAGGATGCAAAAAGAATGTGGTAACATGCTTTTTGCTTTACTGGGATAAGTAAAACAGAATAGCATTTCTTGCTTTGCCACCTAATTTATTAATTAAATTATTTATCATCTGTGCTGGAGATCAAACAGAAGAGTTTCACATTCCAAAAGCAAGTGTTCTTCTACTCCTGAGCTACATTTCAAGCATACTTAAAAATCTCATTCCTGGGCCATTAAGATGGCTCAGTGGGTAAAGGCACTTGCTGCTAAGCCTGAGGACCTCAGTTCAAATCCCAAGACCCACATGATGGGAGGTGAGAGCTAACTCCTGAAAGTTTTCCTCTGACCTTCATATATACATAGATATACACAAAAAACAAATCTAATTTTCAAAAACCTCATTCCTACTTAGTGATAAATATATTCATGTATGTCATGTACAATTTATACAAACAGCCTGAAGGCAATTTATATGTTTCTATGTGCCTACATTCTGTATGCTATCACCCAAGGGAAGGTGCAGGATTTTCCACTTGTAGAAGCATTATTTGAGGACATCACATAAAGAGTTGACATTTTTGGATCATTTTATATTTTGGCCTTTTCGTATGTTGATTTTATTGGAAAAAGTTGTAGAACTGACCTAAAGAACTCTACAAGCAATGACACTTGGAAGACAAGCTAGGTAAAAAGCACATTCCCATGCCCAAAACTATTTATTTTCACTAGTCTAAGTTCAGCAGGGTTTTCTACTGTAGACCCAAATTTGAGTGAATTAGTCTTAAAATGTGGAGCCACATCCTGTAAATGATTGTACTTTGGTTCATACAGATAAAGTGGCTGCAGCTTTCATCAGGGAAAGTCCAAGCTCCACGAGGCCTTAGGGCAGCAGTAACGAGAGTGAGGGGACACCATGCACCTGAATGAAGGGGTCACGAGCCACCATCTGGGGGAGGGGAACTCTGCCACTTGACAACTCCTTCCACTCTCTGCTGTGTGTGAGACTGAACTTAATTCTCCAGACCGCATCATTCAGTACACCATCCAAATGTTCTGATGTGCCGCCACATTCACAGCATCAACATACTGAAATACATAATGCTATATGCACTCAGAAAACTTCTTTCTCTCCTAAGGAGTAATTTTCTCTGCAATAGTACAAAATGGCTGCAGCTTCTGGATTATGTTTTAAAAATCTCAAAAAATTAAAACTAGGATTATGGCTTAGAGGTAGATTAGAAATTATTATTCACTTAAAAATTATAGGGAAGACAGATAAAGTCACACTGTAAGAGAATAATGTTGAAAAAAAAAACTTGCTTATCAATCTTCATCTCATTTGGCTCTGGTTGATATTTTAAGACAAAAGTCCATCAAGAGAATTACTGCCTTTCAATATTTTGTTTCTGGAAAAAAGCCTTTCCAAGTTCATATGTGCTGATCATAATGGCACAAGCAGGAGCAATTTTAACTAATCGAGGAATTAGACCTGGAAAGAGAATAGGAAAAAAACAAACAAACACATTTTACCTTTTTTAAAATGTAGCATTTAGCTTCATAATAACCAAATTAAATGAACTGCAATACCAAGTCCATATCATAAATAGGTAGCAAAGAACAGAACAACCTGCTCACTCCCAACTTCAAAATCAAATTTCCCTCATAACAAAAATCTACTATTGAAGATTACTTTACCTTATAACAATATTTAGGAGAAAATAATAAATATAAAATGTTACCTATCACTTCTTCCTAGAAGTTAATTATAAGCAAGGGTTCTTACCTGTAAACAACCCAGAAAATCCATTTTCAGCAATAATGTTCTTCATTATAGCCCAGGTTGACAAATGCAAAGGCACAGGAACTATAAATGTTAAAAGAAAAAAAATACTATAGCACATAAACCATAACTCAACAGTTTGTATTACAGATCTGTCCTAGCTTTTGTTCTATGGTGAGACACCATGACCAAGGCAGTTCTTGTATAAAAAAGCACTTAAGTGGGGCTCACTCACAACTTTGGAGAGTTAGTCTATGATCATCACGGTGAGAAGCAGATAGGCATGGTGCTGGAGCAGCAGCCCAGAGCTTTACACCCTGATCCTCAGGCAGCAGAGGAAAGAGAAAGACTAGGCCTGGCCTGGGCTTTTTAACCCTCAAAGGCCACCCCCACTGACACACCTCCTCCAACAGGCCATACTTACTCTGACAAGGCCACACCTTAATCTTTTCCAAACAGTTCCACTAACTTGGACCAGGCATTCAAATATATGAGCCTATGGGGCCATTCTTATTCAAACCCTCACAAGATCATATATAAAGGTACTTATTACCTTTGGTAATATTAGATTTCATTATATTAAAAAAATACCTGTTTATCTGGGAGTTTCAATCTGTTTTGTTATGCTCGAATATGTTCTTACTACATAGCCTAGCCTGCCCTGCTCTCTAGCTGAGGCTAACCTCAAGCTCACAAATCTTCCTGCCTCACCTGAGAACTGGGGTACAGATGTGAACCACCAGATCCAAGTTCAATTTTGAGTAGCTGGCTTCCTTAAAAAGATGGCAGCTCTACTGCAAAACCGTGCACACATCTGTATACAAAGCACGGAGGAGCATACACAATCAGTGGTGTTACTGTTTGTACTTCCTTCATGTCAAGAGTCTTTCACCAAGAAAAATGGAAGACACAGAAAACCCACCTAATATATCTAATGTATTTCTTGTAATCTAAGTCCAGAGAAACACTTTCATTTCAATTTTATTATCCATAGTTTAACAGAAGAAGAAAAAATTTTGCCTAAGAATGGTTCTGAGGATGGGTCATTCTAATGGTGCTTTGCTTTAATCACAACCCTTCTAATTAGATCTGCACTATTTCCTTCAAATGACAGGTTTTAGGTAGCAATGCCATCTCAGTTATTTCCACTCAAGTATGTGGGGGATGGACAACAAAATATAAAAACTTTGCTAAAGGAGGATGCCACTACATTCAAATATAAAGCCTATAAATAACTGTACACACTTGACTTTCATTTCCCATAGTTTCTGTAGAGTTGGCTAAGTCCACAGAATAAAGACACAGTAAGTTTGAAAACACCTCTCAGAAGCAGGCAAGCTCTCATGGGAATAGCTCACTCACAGCTCAAGAGTTCTGTCTTCACATGGGACCAGCTGACAATGAACGAACAATCCTGTGTTGCCTTTTCTGGCCTTTGAGAACTGCATAGCACAATATTATTTACCAATGTTTATATTGATGACAATCCTTAGTCACAAAGGCAGACTAAAGAACATACCCCTAAGCAAGCTGGACAAAAAGGGAAAGATTACAGAAAAATATCCTCTAAAAATGCCTATTTTAACTGTAGACTGAGTGAATGGACTAAAGAAAACCCAAGCCTTGACAATATGCTGATGGACAGGCTCCTATCACCCGTGAAGAAACAGACTAGATGTGAAAGGCAGAAATAAGACTCCAGTAAACAGAAGACAAAGCACACAGGGAGGGCTGTGCTTAGGGCTCTGGACAGACTCCCTCTCGGGGTTCCTATAAAACAGTCTTACTACGCAGGCAGCTAGACCTCAACTCTAGATCCTCCTGCCTCAGCATCCCAAGTTCTTGGGATTATGTTCATGTACCACCACTCAGTGATTGACAAAATAGATTTTAAGGCAAAAATGATACAAAAAGACAAAAATCACTATGATGTACTAATACCCAAAATATTTCTTAAGAATTAAAATTATTAAAAATTCAAATAATATTTTAAGTTATCAAATATGTGAGAATGTGAAACTTAACCTCTAGAAAACAGAAAAATTTGGGTCAAGTTTAAAATGGTGAAGCTAAGCATCACGTTGTTAAAAAATGAATTAATCCGTGCATTTATGAATATGCACCATGGCAGACATGTGGAGGTCAGAGGACAACTTGTGGGAGTCAGTTCTCTGGGGAGTGAAATCAGGTCATCAGGCTTGGTGGCAAGTACCTTACTTACTGAACAATCTTAGTGATCCAAATTTTGAAAAATTATATAAAAATGACATATTCATAGATGAGGTAAATGTTACAGAACTGGCACTTACTACAGCCTATGTGCTTCTGCATGCTCCCTGTCTTCTGGTAGGTTTTGAGGGTCTCATTTCTTGTTGTACTGCTGCCTGGCACCTACCACAGAGTGGACATGCAATAACTGAGTAACAGATGAAGAACGGACACATCATCCCATATCAACTCACTTTCTTTATGCCTAGCATGGTGGTTTGAATGAGAATGCCCTCTACAGGCTCATGTATTTGAATCCTTGGTTCCCAGTTAGTGGAATAGTTTGGGAAGGTAGACATGGCCTTGTTGGAGGAGGTGTGTCACTGGGGGCTCCACCATTCCAGTGTCTCTTGTCTGCCTCTCTCTGCCTCAGCTGTAAGCTCTGTTACTGTTCCAATCCCATGCCTGCCTGCTGCTGCCATGCTCCCTGCCATGACAGTCATGGACTCACCCTCTGAAACGCCAATTCCCCACTAAACACTTTCTTCTAGAAGTTGCCTTGGTCATGGCGTTTTGTCACAGCAACAGAAAAGTAATTAAGACACTTAGAGATAAGTGAAATCATTTCAAACAGAGCAAAGTTATTTGGGGGGGGGCAGATAAATAATGTGTAATACAAATGACGTATAATACAAAACAGTTTCAAGTGATTTATTGTGTAACTTTGTAACCCATATGTATCTTGTTAGAGTGGTAAGCAGTTACTCAAGTGGAGTAATAGGTCAAAGTGAGCAATGAGAGTCACAGAAAACGAAACCCCAACTCTTCTTTAAGCTTCCCCACCATGCGCTGAAAAGGAGAGGCACTGATTAGAAAAAGCAGTAATACTGGAAAGGATGGCCTCCTTGTCCCAGTCCCAATGCCAACACCACAACCATGCTGCTTAGGAGAAATTACACCAGGTAGAACACTCCTACCAGATACTTAATGGATCAAACGTATTTAGATGAGAAGGAAGAACAAATCAAAATAATTCTAAGCTATCAAAAGAAGACAGTGCTTAGACAGCTAGAAGGCTCATACAGAGGTAAGAGACAGAGTATAAACTATCATTACCTACCAGGCTTCATTAGTGTCTGGTATTAGAGGAAACTTGGTATTTAGTAGGTCAAAGATAAACCCATTCAGATTAATTTATAGAGGTCTATAAACAACATTTCTTTAATATTATACTGCCAACTTTATGCAAAAAAAAATTCACAGGCTAGAAAGGTATTTACATTAAAATAAGCTGCCATAAAGCTTATACAAAACATTGTACAAAGGGTAATTCCTTTAGGTCTGTTATATACTGTTTCTTTTTTCTGTTCTTCTCATCTCCCCCTCTTTTCCAGATGGGTCTCACCACGTACATTAGGATGGTTTTGAACTTACGATCCAGCCTCCACCTCCTAAATGCTGGGATTACAGGCATGCACAATCACAGCCAGGTGTGCTAGATTTCTAAACCAGAATAATTGATGGTATGTGTGGTGAGGGCTGGCAGAAGTAAATAAGAGTACACTTTCGTTCCAGAAGAAATTATAGGTTACAAAGAGGTAAAAAATAAACATGAAGAAACAGGTAGGGGAAAAAGTAAGAACACAGAAGCTAAACATCAACTTCATGAAAAAAGTTCCCAGTAATTTCCTACCACCTTTCATGGAGACAAGGTCTTGCTATGTAGCCATGGAGGGCCAGATTGTTTTTTGTTTTTTTGGGTTTTTGTTTGTTTGTTTGTTTTTTTATCATTTATACTGATTTGTCGAGATTTATTTTATTGACTTATTTCAAAGAATACTTACATGGTGAATAAAAATATAAATTTGAAAACAAACTACAAGAAAAATTATAACAACGTAGCTTTTTGTGATAAAAGTAATTTTTTTTTCTTCAGAGCAGTTAAGAGACAGATAGGAAACAGGCTTTAAGATTCCTGGACACTTGTAGCGCACGCCTTTAATCCCAGCACTCGGGAGGCAGAGGCAGGCAGATCTCTGTGAGTTTGAGGCCAGCCTGGTCTCCAAAGCGAGTTCCAAGAAAGGCGCAAAGTTACACAGAGAAACCCTGTCTCGAAAAACCAAAAAAAAAAAAGATTCCTGGACACTTGTTAGTATTTCTCTAGGTGTTCCATTCTACCAGCACATCTCCCTCAGTTTCAGTAAAGAGGACTAAGGTCTAAGAAAACAACGGTGCTTCCTGACTACGTATTCCTAACAAAATCACACAAGGGCAACAGGGACATCTGTAAATGCTTCTACTCACCTTTACCACTCTCGTACGTCCAGAGCTGTGTCTGTTTCTGGGTTTTCACCACGTCAAATGGTAAAGTTGCAACAGCAGCAAACTATCAAAAAGTCAATTTAAATCCTTAGGTTTTCAAAAAAAATTTTAAAAATGTATTATCACATTATTTAATATGGATAATGACAAAATAATAAGCTGAAATGTAAAATAAACCAGATATATACATAAAGAGTTTTTATTGATGAAAACAGGTTACATCTCAAGGCTTCATCATAAAACTCCAAAGTAAACTGCCTCAGAACAATCCATTTTCTTTCCTGACCACACAGCTGCCAATTGCAAAGACAGCATCAGTCCTCTGTGGCTTTACACCAGTGTTTATACCTTCTGAGTCTACGTGTCATACGATACTATTTTACTATGTACTGTCAGTGTGTATGTGAGTGTGAGTGTGTGTGTGTTGGGGGGGGGGTCTCATGTAGCTCAGTCTTGCCTTCAACTCAACTGAGTAGCCAAGGACTACCTTGAACTCCTGACCATCCTGTCTATGCTTGTCAAGTGTTGGGATTACAGACAGGAGCCACCACACTCAGCTTTTTAACATATTTTAAAGTAGAATTCTCCAGTATGTATTTAGCATATGAAAACTTCCAGCAAACATTTTTCAAATATTAGACAAAATAAATTTAGAAGTTCATGAAAATGTACTTCAAACTTTTAGCCTCTATATATCTTTTAATGGATTTTACAGTTGCAAAGGTTCAAAAATCACATTTTCTAAAGTTTTCTCAAAGTGATACAATTTAACACCCTTTCCCATATTGCCTTAAGTAAGATTTTAAAAGATACTTAAATTCCTTTAAAAATGGTGTCATATCTGATACAATATCCATATAGTTTTTTTTTGCTTCCTAGCTCACATTTGAATAAATACATTAATAAAATGCCTCTTAAGCGTCACATTTTATTTCATCTCAACTCTGTGCTGTTCTCGAACTCAGCTGCAAAGATTGCAAACATGCAATACACTGCCGTTTTCTCATCTCCAGTCAAGAGGCAACAGGCTGCAACTCCACGTTCTAAGTGACAGTTAAGACAGCTCTGTTTCTGGCACCATCAAATCCATGTGCTTTTTCAGTTGCACAGACAAATCTTTATTTGAAAGCTGTTAAAGCTACCAATAATTTCCAGACTAAAAATGAACATTTACGTTCAGTAGCAACATGACGCTGGAGTCTTTCCTATTCCTGAACAGCTGGCGCGTCCTGAGGCCGTCACTCCCTGCTAGTTATTTACCTCTGTGTCACTGCAGCTGAACTGACCGACAGTAGATCTGAACTTGTTTTCTCACTTCTGCATGTCCAGCACCAGCTTCCTTATCCTAGGGTGTCTGGCACATTATTCAAATTTTCCTGCAACTTTTCACCTCTCCACTCAGCCCTAACTCTCACTTGTCTTTCTTAAAGACAAAGGATGTCATCACACAGTCCAAGCTGGCCCCGACCCAAGTCTCCTGCTTCCACCTCTCAAGCACTCAGAGCTGACTTAGTCCTGTCGCTCTGTAACTACCATCTGTCTGTGTCATGCGGTAAATGATCACACATTAATGCTGGAAACTCTTTATGGGCAAGGCGGTGGTGAGATGAATCTGCACCACCTGAAGGTAGAGGAGGGAAGACCTTCCTATTCCCCAAAATGGTCCTTTGTGAGTCTTGCCTTCTGGTTTCTGTTTCTCAGAATTCCTTCAGAAACTTCTCAATAGTCAAAATGTTCCCAAAGAATCATAGCAGCAGAGACTAGAATATCGTCTGTTTGATTTGGTGATTCATTTTAGACAAAACTCCATGACTATTAGCTAACCATATCTACCAGCGTTTACTGAACTAATGTACTGTAAAATACTCTGTAAGAAAAAGTGCTGTATGCACACAATCATGATGGTATCTATAATTAGCTAACCAATACAAGGTTATTCAAAAATGAATGTGTATAGAATAAAAACATAAATAGGAAGTACATTTGAAAATATTTTAATGGCTAATAATTTATTTCCTGAAAACAGGAAAAAAGTGTCCTCTCAACATACATGAAATGCTAGATAAGATCTTGTTCTGTTTTAATAATAATTAGCAAGTATCTGGAATATTAACAATAACAACAACAACAACGGAAAAAAAAAAACAAAAAACTTACAGAACCAGACAATGCCCCTGAAGTAAAGTTGATCATAAATGTCGGTTCATATAAACCAGATTTCTCACACAACCAGTTCTTTACAATCTCATAGTTATACCAGTACATTGCTATAAAACAGAGAATGAAATGAGCACAAATTTAGAAACACAATGTAGACTTTGGAGAATAGAGCTATGATGTTACAAATCAAAGTAAAACACAAACTCTAGCCTTGACACACCGTCCTTTATGCTTAAAACTAGACGGGATTAAAAGAGGGGACTGAAATTCTAAGTATTATTTTAACAGTCTTTTAAGAAAACAGAAACTTCTCCATCAATATAGCTGAAGTATAGTAAACACTCAACAGGGCAAGCAGAAGAATGGACATACACAGGGTGATCCAGAGCACAGTGTAAGAATGCACACCAAAGACAAATCACACTGAACAGGAATACCATAAAAGGCCATACACGATGGCTAGATGGAGGTATCCCATAAATCAGGGTAGTTAGTATAATTCATGTTACATACTGCATGAATAAAACCATGGGAGAGCCTATTTATGATGGAGGATATTTAATAAAATTAACACTTCCATTTAAAGCAAACTCAAATTTCTTGAAAATATGGAGATTAAAAAGTGGTTTTTTAGACTGATAAAAGATATGCACCAAAAACTTGTAGAAAATGTGACAGCTAATGTACAGGAAGGAAAAATTAGGATAAATAAATATAAAAACATTGAAGTCCTAATATATATTATCTACAAATAAACATAAAAACATTGAGGTCCTAATATATATTCTCTACAAAGAAGCTCAGAAAGATATTTAGGCAAATTAGTGTTTATTCATCTTTTAAAAAGTAGCTAGATATCAGCTAATAGGGAAAATTCAATTGCAACTATACTACCCACAAAGCTTTATAAAGCATATTTATTATAAATATACAACTTTAAAAAGAACTAGCAAGGCCCGATGAAGCAGCTCAAAGAGACAGCACTGACCTAGCACATACAATGTCCGGGGTTGAGTCCCCATCAAAACCAAACACACACATACACACACACACAACCAAAGCCTAGAGGATGTAGTATACCTACTAAATATATAAAAAGTGTACATAACCTTTATGAAGAAAATTTTAGATAGCTACTGGAATACTTTAAAGAATATTATTAACACAAATATATCATTCTTAGAAAAGAAAAATAAGGCAATACCAAGATTTTTTTATAAAGCGATCGTGATTTGGACAGTATTACTAGCAAATGAGTATTGTACAAATACTCCAAACTCCATCCATACATGAAAATCTCTTTACAAACTAAAGTTACTCAATGAATGATGCTGCAATGACTTATATGTTGGGTCATATCCCCAAATCAATTATCTCTAAACAAATGGCCAATGAAACAATGCCAACCTTTATAAGTAATCACTGAAATACAAATCAAAGTGAGACACTTTAAATGATCAAATAAACATAATTTAAGGACCTTGACAATGAAGAGCTTATGGAAGTATAAGACAGAAGAAACCATCATAATTGATGATAAATGTATCGATCCACACAATCACTTAAATTTTGTTTTATTGTGTGTGGGTATATGAGTCCACATGTAGAGGTCTGAAAATAATTTTCAGGAATTGGTTCTCTCTTTCTATCTGTGGGTCCTGGAGATTGAACTCAGGTTGCAAGGGTTGATAGCAGGCACCTTTATCTACTGAGCCATCTCACTGATCCTATTTTGTCCCCTCTGTTGTTCTAAATAATTTAAAATTTGATTTTATGTGTTTTTCCTGCATATGCTGCCATGCTTGGTGCCAACAGAGATCAGAAGAGAGGTCAGATCTGGAACTGGGTTATGATGATTATGAGCTGCCATGTATGTCTGGGAACCAAACTCAGGCCGTCTACAAGAAAAGCAAATGTGGCAAGTGCTCCCATCTGCTGAGCCATCTCTTTGGTCTTGTTTTTGTTTTTTTGGTTTTTTTTGAGACAGGGTCTTACTGTATAATCTCACCTGGCCTCAAACTCATGGTAATCCTCATCCCTCAGTCTCTCAAGGGTTGCTATTACAGACATGAGGACCACACCTGGTTTTAGTTGGGCACAGTGACACACACCTTTAATACTAACACTGGAGGGGCAGAGGCAGGCAGACTCCATGAATTTGAGGCCACTTTGGTCTATATATCCAGGTCATCCAGGGCTACATAAAAAGACCCTGTCTCAAAAAAAAAAAAAAAAAAAAAAAACCTCACTTTTAACTACCTAAATTAGAAATACACCTAAGATATTTAAATGAATCAGCAAGTCCAATATGGAAAACTGTTGCACAGGTAAAATAAGAAACTGTATAAAATTTATTTCAGAGCAGTACTATTTTATTTGTACATAGACAGAAGTAAAAGTAAGGAGACAGCTCTAGAATGTATCTTATGAAAAGTTTTGAGCAGGAAGAAGGTGGGAGGGTGGTTTTAAAGATCAAAAACTAAACACTGTATTTTTAAGCATAATACTCAAGAAAACATATTATAACCAAATAGATGATAGAAACCCAATATGGGGCCAGTGTGGCGGCCCAGTGGGTAGGGCGCGTGCTGCTTTGTCTGAGAACCTGGGTGTGAAATCCAGAGCCTGCATCGTTGAAGGAGAGAACCAACTTCTGTACTCTGACTTTCATGAGTGTCTTTAAAAAGCTGGTATGGAGGTTACCACTGAGGTTACGGTGTGGGGCAGCAGCAAAGGGGCCCAAATGGCTTCATGCTCTAACACATGACGTCCAACCCCATGTGGTGACAGGCCAAGTCCACAGGTGTGCAGTCTGCAAACGCGTGTCTGTGTTTCTTTTTACATAACAGAATATATTTGTAAAAGTAAGCTGGCATAGAAGCCGATTACTTACTTTTCGTATAAGTGAACCTATTTGATTTATAATAGTCTTATAGAATACTTAATAGGAAATGTTTATTTTTAATTACTGAAAAACTAAGTGTTCAGTTAATTTTAAGATGGTCTTAAGTACATTTTATAATATTTTGATTTGTATTTTAATTGCCTTATTATGACTTGTTTAGGACAGTGTTAAGGTAGTCTGTATTATCTGAGAATGAATATGTACCAATGAATGTTTAGCAACAATAAGACACAATAAGAAAACACAAGGACCTGAATTAGAAACTGTTCAATCAATAAAGGCTTGTGCAAGTCTCAAATTTGAATAATGAACTACAAATCTGTGGTCAGTACAGAAAAAAAATTTACTTTTAACCATAAAGAGTTTAAAACCTAGTAAAATACATGACCTAAGACAGAGATCTAAAATGAACAGCTACTAATAAGACAAATCCCACCTGAGAAAGGCACGTCTCTAAGTAGAGTTGGAGCCCAGCCCTTCCAGAGGGAAATCCAACCTTCTTCTGACACTTTCCCGCTCACAAATCCATGGAGTTCCTTGTAAGAAAACTTCTTAGACTGCATCTTAGTTCTGATCAGTTCTAATGGACTTATCACTGTTACTGCACCAACTAATACAAACACGAGAACAGAAAGATTAAGGTGTATACGGTGGGAGCCAAATTTAACACTTCTGTTTTGGTTTTTATCCCCTCCCCCACTTCCACAAACTATGCACTCAAGTTTCCTGCTGTGGGGAACCTGCAGCAGTCAGTGGTCAGCACACCAAGAGTACAATGAGCAAGCCTCACCCTGGAAAGGAAACTCTCCTTCTAGGTTAAGTCTGTGTTTTGTATTTTTAAAAACTTAATTAGCTGACAAAGTAAAAGGCTCCTTGTGTTATTTCCAGATATACATTGTTTTGGATGACCTGTTTCCTGCCCCCACCTCCACGTGGACCCTTTCCTCCCTGCATGCTTCTGCCCCAGTAGTCTACCTTTCTACATTAATATTCATGTCTATGCTACCCTCAGTTACTCTTAATGTCTCTAAAGATTGAAAGAGAATAGCTATGATGTCAAAAGATTTTTTTCTCATGATAACAGTGCCAAAGTTGTACCTCCTCTTCATTTCACCTCTTTCAAGGGTAATACTAAAAATGCCAGAGCCAGCCAGAGAACCACTAGAAAGCCCAGTTAGTACTCCCAGATAGACAGCAACAATACTTCATCTCCTCTGCTCTTCTGGATGAAGGGTCTCACTATGTAGCCCTGGCTGGCACAGAACTCTCTATACTGGACCAGGCCTTCAGAGATCACCTGGCTCTGTCTCTCAGGTGCTGGGATTAAAATCCTGTGCTACCATGCCCAGCATGAGCCTATTTAACAGGGAATGTTTGCACAGACACAATTTTCCTTCTGACTAAGCTCTGAATCTTAGAGTTTATAAGAAATGTGATTAAAGCTTTGGCTTGAAGTCATGTATGGACTCAAATACATTAGAAATTTAGGTGAATAAGAATCAGTTCTAACATCACTGTTAAGTAACTATCTAAGATTCAATGAAGATGAGATAACCCTATCTCATTCTGATGGTAATCACTTCCTTACTGAATGACTTGTGGAGTATAGATAGCAATAATTAATACAAACTAGAACACAAAATACATCATACCAATATTCTGTACGTTCAACAGATTCTCTGTAAAATATCAGAATCTAAATAGATGTTCTAAGTAGAAATCTAAATGAAAACAAACTCATTACTTACATCTGGCAACAATCCCAGCAACTATTGGTATTCGGGTTTCATTTTCTCCTAATTTAGTTCTCAAAAAAGCACTTAATTGTTCATAGCAGGTAAAATAAATAACTGTGGCAGGAATTGCCATCACTCTGTTAGAAAGACACACAAAATATGTTCAGAATTATCAAAAGGCCTCAGCTATACTGCTAAGCTCATATATTATAAGTTTTTATATGGGATAAACTAAAAAAATCACCCCGTGAGAGAAATACGCTTGTGTGCATATCTGCATGTACATATGTGTATGTACCTGGATAGACCTGTATGTGTACATGCACAAAGCAACAAGGTCAAAGTTGGGAGTCTTATTCAGTATCTTTCCATCCCGTTTCTCTTTGGGATAGGGTCTCTCACTGAACCTCAAGCTCAGTGATCTGGCCAGCAAGCAGCAGGGACACTTCGGTCTCTGCCTCCCCAGTGATGTGACTACAGATGCGCACCAGTGTGCCTGACATAGTGAGTGCTGGGGATCACAACCAGAGAAAGTGCTCTGCCATCATTTGAGCCATCTTCCCAACCCCAATTTCTCTAAAAAGTCTAAGAATAACTGTAAAACAGTTTTAAACCACAGATCATACATCACAGTGGCTTATAAGAAGTAGATTACAGTTACACTGCCAGGATTATGTATGTTAATTGTGAGGGAATTCTGATATCAAAGGGAATTATTAATTAAATTCAAGTAAAACTTTCAGGCAGCAGTATGTCATATAGATTAATGCAATAAGAAATCACCTTAGGGGACTGGAGAGATGGCTCACTGGTTAAGAGCACTGGCTGCTCTTCCAGAGGTCCTGGGTTCAATTCCCAGCACCCACATGGCAGCTCACAACTGTCTATAACTCCAGTTCCAGGGGATCTGACACCTTCACACCAATGTACATAAAATAAGTTAAATAAAAATATTTTTTTAAAAAAATAAATCATCTTAGGCATTAAAATATATGCCTCAAATATGGCTCAAGATTGAATAATCCCCTCTGAAAGACAAAGGAAGTTGTGAAAAACAAATAAAACAAAGGAAGCCAAAACATTTGCTGGAGCTTTTACATTTAGCTTTGCGAGTTTACCATATTCATTCACAAATTTGTACTTAGTAGAGAGCTAGAATTGGATATATAAATATTCAACATACCTTACAGTTTTAGTACAATAAAAAGAAAAACACAAAATTATTGATTTTTGTTACAAAAACAAATCAAAACGAAACAAAAAACGTAGACAGCAAAAACAACACAGAGGGCATGGTTGCTTAAGTTTTCTATAATATCTCCACGAGGGCCAATCTGTATGCTAACCTTTAGCCACTAGAATGTTCCTAAGGATAGTACTTTAGATATGTCTGAAGTTCTACAACAATTTGTCTAGACTGACTATACAACAGTGTGATTTGTGATATACAACTACTTTCTTTCTGGGGTATGACATTTTTTCAGCTGCAAAAACACAATGTTCCATGTAGCCAACATGCAATAATAACTACATTCTGAAACTCAGTTGAGTTTTCCAAGGCAGAAATACTTCACACACTGCAGTTACTTGTTGCCAGAGTAAGTACATCCTGTGCTATGCCAGGAAAAGGATTTTAGAAAGTACATGTGTCTTTTTCCTTCCCAATTATACCTGGTATGCTGTAACTGTAATGGACCATATACATGAATATAACCTTCCCTGAGTTCTGTGAGTCCTTCTAGGACATCAAATGTACAGTTGTGAAACTCATAAAACAATACTTCAGGAAATGAAAGAGTCCTAATATTAAAATGCAAGAGTCTGTTCAACCATGCTGATGACAATCATGCTTAGTAGAAAACATAGTAAATTTCAACTTACAGAGTAGGAGGCAGGCCACTCCAAAGGGATTTAATGCCCTCATTTCGAAGAATTTTTAAAAAGGCATCCTAAAATTACAATAGAAAGGTAAACAAAAATATATCTTTAAACCTGATAAAAATTTATAGTAATAACTGATAATCTGAATATTTTAAACATCCGTTTCTAAAATACAAGTTTCTTGGACTTATGGATGCCCATTTTTTAAAAAACAAAGACAATTTCACATATATAAGGTGGAATGTATTCTTACAGACTGAAGTCTCCATTACTTGTTCTTTTTTGTCAGGGACAAGGACAGAATCTCTAGTTAGTGGAAAAATACAGACCCCCAATAAGACAGGGAACTAGATCATCTTACAGTCAGGTTGCCCAGCAACAGGACATTGAGTCAGAGCCCTTGACCCTTTCACCCTGTAAACATCCTATACAAACATCCTGTTAGCTTGCCCCACCTTATGCAGATGACACCTTCTTGCTCCCCCAACCCTGCAGGAACTATATAAACCTTTCTGGAGAAAATAAAGTTGCACCTTGATCAGAATCTAGACTTGGTGTCTTTTCCTTTGTATCTCCTGTCCCTACATTCCCTCCTTAGGGTGGTAGAGAACCTGTTGAAGCCCTGCAGGCCGGGCACTTTTTTTTTTTTTTAAACTTATTTTACTTTGTTTCTACCTAACAAGCTTTTGAGGGGCTGTAAAGATGGCTCAGCAGTTAAGCTTGCTCTTCCAGAGGTCCTGAGTTCAGATCCCAACACCCATGTTAGGTGGCTCACAACTGCCTGTAAGTCCAGCTCCAAAGGGATCTGATGCTGTCTTCTGCCCTCTGTGGATACTCACACACATGTGGGCACAGATTCACACAGACACATATACCAAAGGGATCTGATG